CCACTACCTAAGAATATGACGTTGTGTACATGTTATGGTCCTCTGCTCTACCAACTGAGCTATCGAAGGAAGACAGCAACAACCCTTTCATGACTGATGATATCTGTATCTGTATAGCCTGAACAAAAAGTAGTTTTGAAGGCCAGATATTCTGTACAGACAAACCATACCCAGTGGCCATTAGTCTACATCCCTGCTGTCTTTCTTTGACACATTTCTATACACTCTGTGAATGTGGAGCTTAAAAATAAAATTAATTCTCATACAATTTTGGTCTTTAAGGCCTGAATATGACTGACAGGTTCACTCACAGGACTTGATAGTTGCCCAGGGCCTCCCGAGGCGGACTCCGATTCCAGCGGCAGTCTGGAATATCCCCATTGGGTGTTACGATGTTTAGGGTGTCATTGATGAGGTTGTACTTAAGGATGCGGTCATTGGCTGTGCTGGATGTCAACGAGGGAGAGGCGTTGACCTGAGGATCACACCAAGAAAACATTTACATTTAAAAGGGGGGTTTGCATCATGCGCAAATGGATCTGGTTTTGCAGCAAATGGGCAGTGCTTAATAATACCCCAGGGATCCAAACAGGTAGGAGCAGATTGTTTTAATTTCTTCCTGTCTTTACAGAGAAGCTCTTATCAGGAAGTGTAGCTGCTACATTAGAACATTAGATACACTGTGGAAAATTTACATGAGTGCAGAGAGCGAGATGGAGCAGTTACTCTATCATCAATGTGAAAGGCAGCAACAAAAGACCTACTTTAGCTCCTCGTAGCGTAACAGAGGAAGCTGCAAGATTAATGAACAACAGAGTGTGGTCTTGAGTAGGTTTGTGGCACAAGTTGCTCACTGAGGAGCCTTTATGCCCTTCAACCAACTTTCTTTTGCCCAAAATAGAGCAGAATGGTGTCTGTGAACAGAAATAGCTCAGACCTAGCCTCAAAACCTAGCAACACATTGTACAGCTGTCAAAATATGAAAGTCTCATACCGTGACAACAAAAGAATGTATTGCATGGCAATTTTCAGTTCCCTCTCCTTTGAGCAGTGCTTGTCAGCAGCATTGCATGAGTTAAAAGCAGACCTTCAGCACACATTTGAATACACATCTAAACATACCTCAAGGGCATTCAAATTTACTCCACAATCTAAGGAAAGGAACATGGTGTTACTGTGCAACCACGATAAGTAATCAAGGACTCAAATATGCCAAAAATAAATAAATAAATAAAAGAAAGAAAAATAAGTAAAGAAAAACACTCTTTTAAATTGTTAATTCCTTTTTTAAACTTCTTACCTCAATAAGCCATGGCTTCAACTTGTCATCAATAATGATGTCATACCCGTAACACTCAAAACAGTGCTTGTCATTGTTCATCACAGGCTGTGAGACAGAAAAGCAGAGAGTGATTTAGCATGAGGGATCTTCTCAAGAGTGATTCTTTTATGTGGAAACTTATTGATGCGGCACAGAGCGATTCATCAACGAAGGATGTTAAAAAATAATCAGTCATAACTATAGGCACACAAAGTGGCCTGGGTATGGAGGCTTTAGACAGGAAGCAAGTCCAATCACTTAGCAGAAAGAGGAAGTGTGCATTAGGCTGATTGTGCTGTTGTTCTAAAAACATAAAAGCCATCACCACAACCAGGTGGCTTTGCAGCAGTGTGTTTCAAAATGTTTGAGCTTAAGCAGTTACAAATCAGACATTAACTTTTACACAGAGTGAACGCTGTGGCTTGAAAACAGCTTCTGTCAGATGTTTAAATTGGGAACTGTTAGCTAACAACATCTAAGGGTGATGATAAACTACGTGAGAACTGTAACCCTCCAAGTTGCCCAAAAGTTACTGCAGAGCGAAATTAAAGAACTAAATTTATATGCATCATAATCTTATAATATACACTGGCAAAAATGTACAGACAATATGTTTACTTTAGCAGCACTCTCCACAATTAACTGTTACTTCGTGTGAAAACTGTAATAAGAAAAAAAACCCATTAAACTTCCTGGTGTTGTCTGAAAACTGAAAAAGGAGCTGCAGAATATATGGTGGTAGGTAACAACACATTCACAGGCCATTTTATTAGGTGCAGCTGTTCGGATTTTTGTGTTAACTCAAATCAGCAACTCAATGCATTTAGGCATAAACGCAGGGTCAAGATGACCTGCTGAAGTCCAAACTGAGCATTAGCATGAGGAAGAAAGGTGACTTAAGTGCCTTTGAACATGGCATGGTTGTTGGTTTGATTTGCAGAAACAGTGTGTTGCTAGAATGTTAATATGAAGCAAAATCTCTGTTTCCAACAGCTTGACAAATCTATGCCACAAAGAATTAAGGAAGTTCTCAAGGCAAAAGGGGGCCCAACCTGACCTCATCAAGGTTTACCTAATAGAGTCACCTATGAGCGAAACATCATATGGATTAGGAACACACCTTCTTAATATATTATTAAAAAAACTAACATCACATCAACTTACAGCTACAGCCTTCAGTGACTGCACCACGATCCAGTGGATCTGGTCAAACAATCTGTTTGTCACCTCCTTTCCTCTGGTGCTCTCTAAGTACAAACGGAGGTTACTGACCGTCCACTTCCCTCCATGGACATGGTTGTAGTCATCCTGCATCAAAGGTAAAGAGTCTAAGTAGAAATTAATCATGATTGTATCAATTTATTTTACAAAATACGCACATATCACTTTTTAGACTTGAAAATGCTCAGTGAGTGTCCCTATAAATAAGAAGTTATACATATAAATATATAGTTATTCAGCACAGTAAAAGGTGTTAACAGATCAGAGACTATTAATAGGTGCCTCATTCCCTCTTCCCTTCTTCTTATGAGTCAGAATCCAGCCACCCTTCTGAGGCAGGATTAGAAGTCAGAATACAACCACCGTGCCACTGAGGGCTAGGGGCAGGCAAAGTCTGGAGCTGCACAAAAGTCAGAGGTGTTATGTTTTTGCGTTAAGTTATGCAAAATGTTTCTTATCTTGAGTATCAGGAACTTGCTCGGCAACAGGAAGCTGCTGTCACAAACCCGGACTAACCGAGGGTACTTGGTCAATCGGGGAATCAGTAAAAGCAAAGTATTTAGGACAAGTGTACAACTGACACTGTTTATGCTGCAAGTGCTAACGGTCACTCAACTATTAACTCTGTTTATGACATAAAGGTTGGACATAGAAATACAGAAAGTGAAGGTTGATCTTGATGATTGTGGTAACTTGAGTTACAAATTACCACTTTACAAGAATCACAAATATCTGTAATCAGCGACTATTTCATAAAGTTATGTTAAATCATTCTCGATCAGATCATGTCATTGAGTTTTCTCACTCAGTTTTGGCACAAGTACAGTTTCAACTATTCTGTGTAAACAGGAAGTTTATTTAAAGCAATGTGTCAAACATAAGGCCCGGGGGCCTGAACCAGCTTACACAAACTCCAATTCGGCCCACTGGACAGCTTTGGAAAATATGAAGTAGAGCATAAATGTTATTTTATTTTCAGGATTTTTACTGCTTTTTCTAGTTTTATGGTCTTTCATGGTCATTTATTCTACACTAAAGTAATTGAGATAAACAATTAAATGATAGAAAAGTTCCTGTTTCACTATAGAAAGTCCTGTTTTTTTATGATAGATCCACAGTAAGAAAAAAAAAATTCTGTGAATTAACATAAGTTTTTTGTTTCATAATTACAGGATAGTATGAGCAGTGAGCTACCAGAACTTTTTTCTGAAACTTTTGACATGCATTTCTTACAATTTAGGCTCTAAGAAGTGTGCTGACATTTACTACAGCAACATTTCTTATCTTGTAGAAAAACTGAGATGTTCCGCTGAAATTGCACATCTTTTTCTTAAAGAGTTTCCTGAGTTTAAAGAGACCTGTGCTGAATCCCTCCAACAGAATGTGATACAGCAATAACTGTTTGAGCTCCAGCTCCCAGAAAGCTAAAAGTGGCCTGACTCTGTGCCATGTTAGGGACTGCCTGTAATGTGGTGAGGCAGGTGCATAGATGTGCTATATGTGCAGAATTCAGACTATTCTCAACAATGGGCAAGCTACCAATTTTCCAAGTAGTGACATTTCCTGAAAGTGTTGAAACGTTGCATTTTCAAACAGAAACCCTGTGTTATAAACCATGACTGTGGATTTGGATAAAATGTGAACATTTACAAGTCAATGAGGATCTAGCAAGAGATGGAGAAACAGAAAGTCCACTGTTGCTAACACAAAAGCTTTATACTACTTCCTGTGAACGCCACCAGACCTACCCCATGTTTCTGGATGGCCACGTTAGTGAGGTGCACAAACATGTTGTCCAGTTCACTGGTGCTGGGTGTGTACTTCACTGTGCAGAACCGGCAGAAGCCCAGCTTATACCTGAAAGTCGAATGACAGAGAGAGAGAGACTATTAAACAACAGTTTTTTGTGTGCACATTTGAGAATAACCTCTAAAAAAAACAGGAAAAAATCCTCTTAACATCTCCTATATACTGATGTTTTCGACATGATCAAAAAACACATCAACAGTATCACAGGCTTACATGTAGCATTTCAGGGGTCGATATGTGGTCACCAGGACATAAAGACGCAGGTCAAACTTCTTCCCCCCTATCAGCAGAGGGTTGTCAATGTACAGAGAGATGACATAAGCTTCCTTGCCACTAGATGCTGCTACAAACCTGGGGCAAAGACACAGCCAGGCATCAGCACACGACAGCCTGTGACCAAACAATTTGAGATTTACCAGGAAAGAAAATGTCTATAAAACAGATTTTGCATGTGTTCAAATCCAGAAAGAACTTTTGTAGCTTTCTTAGATGAGACTATCTGACAAAACAAGAGGGGAACAGTTACATAGAGCCTTTTTGTAATGTGAAATTTAGAGATATGCTAATTTCTCACAATATTTCTTGCTGCTTCTGTCTGTATAGGTCACACGATAACTCACGTTGAGGTGCGGCTGTCTCTCGACCACTTTTTAATCTGGGACAGCTTGTTAATGAGGAAGATGCCTTTCCCCTGGGCCTTCCCGCAGGGCTTCATTATCCAGGTGCTGGACGGATTCTTACGAAACTCCTCCACAAAGAGGTTATAATCAGCAGGAAGCATGAACGTCACCGGGACGAAATCTGCACAAAGAGAAAAAGCAGATTCATTGAAGAAAACAGCGTGCCTCTTTGAGTTTTGTGAGGCAAAATAAGAGCAAGTCATGTACCCAGATAAATGTATTTTCCATTCTCGTCTTTCTCCGCTAACGGACTGCTTTCTTTCTCCAGCTCCTTGCGATAGCGTTTGATGTTCTTGATCATCAGGTCTTTCCTTGTCAGCTCATAATGGTTGGGAAAGTGGTTAACCATCTGGTCATCTGACAGGCGGTAACCGGTGTCCACGCTGAACACATTCCTGATGGTCTGAATGCTCATCCTGCATGTGGGTACAAATAACCTGATCAAAATACGCTTGGTAAATTGAGTATCACACTAATAAATATATGAATTGATATTTTCACACTAAATATGCATCTAATTTGCCAACCTAGATCCTAAATTTCAGTTTTTTAGTCTTACAAACAAAACTGTCTAGTTGAGGATCCATGTTATTTAATTAAACAAATCATATACACATATATAAGTGTCTGTAACCAGCTAAGTTGTAAGAAGGCAACATCTTCTTCAGCACCCATAAAGATGATCCATTTCTTCCACTTTTAGACCTTCAGTTCGCCTTGTAATCGGAAGTTTGCTGGTTCGAGCCCCGGCTTGGACAGTCTCAGTCGTTGTTTCCTTGGGTAAGACACTTCACCCGTTGCCTACTGGTGGTGGTCAGAGGGCCCGGTGGCGCCAGTGTCCGGCAGCCTCGCCTCTGTCAGTGCGCCCCAGGGTGGCTGTGGCTACAATGTAGCTTGCCATCACCAGTGTGTGAATGTGTGTGTGAATGGGTGGATGACTGGTTGTGTAAAGCGCTTTGGGGTCTTTAGGGACTAGAAAAGCGCTATACAAATACTTACCATTTTATACTTTATTCTTTTTATTTTTAAGATTACCATGACTATACTTTTTATTAACCCTACCCTAACCCTACGTAACAATATCTGTTGTAAACCAGTTAAAGCACGCCTTTGCTTAAATCTAAACACGCTACTGAGGTCAAGATTAATCATATGAATACTTTATAAGTATGATTTTTAATGCAGGACCTTTACTTGTAATTGCATCATATAAGCAGGAAGAACTTATGTGCCTGTGTATGTGCCAATTGCATGTATTTATCCAAGCAGGACAGGTGCAGGTGTGCTGTAGATATGAAACCTACCAGTAGAAATTCCAGTCGTCGTTTTCTGTAACTTGAATCCATTCCCTTTTCTCAAAGTTGTTGATAAGCACTGATTTCTCAATATCTGTCACCCACTTAACCTTACCGGACATGGTGCCTCCCACTAGGGTGGAACACAAAACAACAACAACAACAGGTAAACACATAGAAAAGTACCGCAGACAGATAGGACCAATGCATAGACATATATTTGAAAAACTGCATTCTTTTACAAGAAACTAAAGCATTTTGCACCAGTGAACTACCTGAAAGTCAATGCCAGGAAACAGCCAGTCATCAGCATCAGCTAGCCGGGCTGGCTCTGTTAGCAAGCTGCTGAATCCTCCCCGGGCTGCTGATGCTGCCGCAGAGGCTGGGCGGACATCATCCGGTCAGTGATGCAATACCCACAAACTGTCCCTGAGCTAAACTCACAGCGAAACACACCATCAGCAGAAACAGCTAGAGACTGAAAGCTACCTCCATGCTAGCTGCTTTTATCGCCAACAAGCTGCTTTTTAATGATCCCGGCGACGTGAACCTGGACAGAGACGAAAACGCCCAGCACAGTCAAACTCCTCTTCACAATAAAAGTCTTTGTTATGTAAATGTAATTACATGTACACAGATTAGTTAAACTACGTTAAAAAAAATTTAGCGACACGTTTAAAGAAGGAAAGGTCTCAAAACCACTAAAGGACGTCGTTACGGGCTTGGTCCTTCCGGAAGAATTACCTAGCAACCGAGGACGCAGTGATGTCATTGTGTGGCGCGCTACAAGAGAGCACCAGGAGAGGTCAGTGTTGGACTGTGGGTGGCAACAATGCATCGCGTCCTTCCAGAAAAATGAAGCATCAGTTATTTACTACCTTGTATGTATTCGTGAATAGTAAGCATTAGTTTGTTTATTCATTCAAGATAATAAGGTCCGAGTTAACAGACAAGCACCGCATCGTGGTCATTGTAAAACAATCCCTAAAGCCACTTCATTAGGTACACTTTGCTAGTACAGAGTTGGCCACTTATCAATTTCAGAGCTTCTTTATGACATAAATTCAGTAAGGTATTGGAAACTTTCCTGATATAGTAGCATCATTGCCTGACAATGTGTCGGTTGCATAACCCAAAGGTGCACTACCGGCTTGAAATCATGTGACTGTGGAAGTCAGTTTGAGATTATTATTATTATTAGTTTTGGTGACATGGTACATTATCCTGCTGGAAGCAACCATGAGAAGATGGGTACACTTTGGTCATAAAGGGATGGACATGGTCAGCAAAAGTAAACAGGTAGGTTGAGGTTTTAATTGATAATCAGTTAGGGCCCCAAAGTGTGCCAAGAAAACATCCCCAACAACATTACACCACAGCTGCCTGAAGCTTTGATACAAAGCATATTGACTGATTACACCCAATTCAAATTCCATATGAAGTTGATCTGCGTCATGAAGTTCACACAGGTTTCATTTGTAATAATCAAATACGAACAATTGTTTATTCACATATAAATACTCTCCTAATGATGATATAGCCTACTTTAACACATATTCATTTAGCAATACCCGTTTTTAAATGCTACGTGTTCAATGCGTTTCAGGTTTTATGTACAAAAAGATGACAAAAAGGTATGCTAATGCTAATAATATTGTAACAACATTAGTTATAGTAATACTGTTAAAACTTATAGCAATATTGGTATTTGACTTACCTACTAGGCAGCTAGCTGTTACAGGATTGTGAGATGAGTTTTGTCCAGCAGGATGTAATGTCATTAAATGGCTTATATGAAATATAAGCATAAAAGACAACCATTTTGATGTGTTTGACTCAATTACATGTCCGATTTAAAAATTCAGGACTTCAAAACTGCTGATATTCATTCAGCTATCAGCTGCTTACTTGTTTTCAGCAAAAAGTGGAATCAGCAGCTCCGTTCATAGATTATAAATCTTTTTCTACGAATCGTGATCACCACACCCATCACCACCCCATTTCAGACCTTTCAACCTGCTACACAAGACACGAAGGAAAAAAATAAGAAAATAAATTAAACTGTATGACTAATAACATCACACATGTAGATAGAATTAGTGTAACAATAGCATTAAATTAATTTAAAACTAATTAAAATAATTTAATTAGTTTTTAAAAGAAAAGAACAGGGATTATGGCTGGAATGTGGATTTCCAGGTAGATGCCTGTAGGACAGGCTCAGTGCAGTCATCCAGTGTAAGCTTCGTGTTTGTCTGCTTGAACTTCACCTGTCCTACCTCGCTAACGTCACCTTGTCCTCTTTCCTAGAAGTTGCTCCTCTGTGAGCTTGGTTTCCATTCCGGACTTCAGAAACCCTCTTGGACCTGTAAATAACCCAGCCTGGAGCCTTCCCCAGCCCAACCGCGCACCTCGCAGAGTAATTTTAAGCTGTGGTTATTAATAATAACCCTGCAAACATTACCAGAAAGCATCTTACAGGTGGCCCCCTGGTGTTCACTGTCGGCGGAAGCCCCAGCGGTGACAGATAAAGGTGTGTCCTGTCATTAGCGGCAGCAGTTACCTGAGAGCGTCGAGATTAAAGGGCGCTGCTGTAAGTAGAGGAAGAAAACACTTTGAAATGATGCTTTTATTCAGTATTTCCAGCTATTTTTAACATTACAATGTTTATTTTTAATTTGTTTGCTTTTATCACAGGGCGGCGTCCACTTAATCTACATAAAAAGGTAGTTTTTAATTTCCTTTTGTGTGTGTGTGTGAGAGAGAGCGAACGACAGTGTGCACCTGTTTACTTGTCAGGGTTGGGATATTCATACTCGACTAATATCTAATATTATACTGCTCAAACATGATACAATACACTAATTTAAGTCTTTAAATGGTTTAATACCTGTTTATTGTTTATCTACTTCAATATGTGTGATCTTCAAAACGACCTTTGTTTGCTGAGAGCAATGACTCCGCACTTTGTTGTGGCAATATGGCTTCTACCTGATGGCTGCCTGTCGTTTTAATGGTGGTGTTTATGTTTCCACGTTTAAGGCTTCAGTTTGCTGGTGTTTTGCCATAAGAAAAAGGGTTTGTAAAAATAAAGACGTTGCAATTAAATCCAAGGGAAACCAGTTCTTGATTTGTCAAGATTTATAGTATTTAAAGCTTGTGATCTGATTCTCCTGACCCGGTGGTGTTTTTCTATCCTTCTCTGTGAGAGTAAAATGGCAGTTTGGTTAATTTGAGTTATGGAAATTCAGCATTTGCATTAAATGGCAGGATTGCAGGTGCAACAGGAACTGATCTCAAGACAGGTGTACCTGAGAGATTATAAACCCGTTTTGAGCTGGACTTTAAGACAAAAACAAAAAATTCAGTGAAAAAGGCAAATTGAATGTAAAGTGTTACGTCTTGAGTTGTCGTAAGTTGGTCGTAAACATGAAAGCGTTGCAATGCATTTTTGCTGCAGTTTAAAAAGAAAGTACAACACAAAGGTTGGACTTGAGCCAAGAGATGATGTTATCTCTGGAGCTGTTTTTTTCTTTCAGCCTAGTAACCCAGTCCACACCTATCCCGGTCACATGAGCCAGTATTTACACAGCCTGTTATTGACCGTTGGGAGCCTGAGCAAAGATAACACACAGACACTTTCAGGCTGTGGAGCCATTGTCTGTCCTGTTGATGTTCTTAGCAGTCTGCTGCACGATATGAACAATTTGCATATATGTTCTCAGAAAACAAAATGGTGGAACAAACAAGACGCCCAAGTCGTGTCATCGCCCTCCAGGCTGGACCTAGTGAGGTGGACCCTGGCACCCTGAGGTACTGTATAGTCCCGCCCCTGCCCCAGTTCGACTATTAATACCAAAAACAAACACACAGCTCAGGCAGCTTGTGCCTCAGGCAAAAACAGCTTTATAAAAAAGATTTTTATTGAGTTTCCCATATTTATGATGGATTCTAAACACACCTGCCTTTTCCTCCCTCAGGATCAGTGACAGGGTTGCACGGGCCTGTGGCCGCCAGTTGGCTTTAATCGGTGACCAGCTAGACCGAGAGTATGCCAGCAGAATGCCAAACCAGCTTCCGACTCCCTTAAACCTCCTGAGACCTGCCCAGGCACTGACTAGGACCATCTATAGGTAAAAAAAAAAAAAAAATCCCCTTATTTTATTTCACTTATCAAACTATTACATTTGTGTGATTGGTTCTAACTTCTCACTGCTTCCTCATAGGGATATTCACAATCAGTTAGGAACTTTTCGGGGTTTGTCTGCTGCAATGAAGACCTGGTTAGTGAGCACTGCACCTGGGCAGGGGATCCTCAGAGTTGAGGCCTTGACAGCTTGGGTAACTCTTCTCTTTAACGCATCTCTGCATTATATGTATGCACAAAGGTTCATTGCTCTTAGTGTTTGCATTAAGGCTTTGTATTCCAAGGAAAAGGGATATCTTTCAGTTTACAGCAGTGGGTTTATCCAATGACTCCAAAGTGTAGAGGTTTACACATGTGCCAAACAAGCAAAGCTTCCTGGTTTAATTCCTTTGGAGGTTGTGTCAGCAAAGTCGTCCAGTGTTAAAAAAAAAATCTGCCAAACCAAATATGTAAAGCAAGTAGCTTGCAGCAGATTTATCCCTAACATCATAATCCCACTTATACCTGATATTAACTGTTAATTTGCTCTGTTTTCCACACGTGGATTATCCAGATTAAAATACCGACAGTTATTTATTTAGTTAAAATTTGTCAACAGATGCATAACCTGCAAAAACTTCTAATTGGCAGACAGTTTAATAAAGAACCAAAGATTTTAAAGTGGATCCCATTTGGGAACTACTTTCCCAATTTGAACCCCAATATAAATATGATTTAAATAAATATATATACATAAAACAAGGAGAAACTCAATTTAAACAAATTTAAATAAAAATAATAGAGCCAAAATAGTCATTTGAACAGTTCAACTCATAAAACCTATTTTACTGAAAAGTGATTAATTAATTAGGAGCTACTTTTCAACTTATAATTTAAAATAATTCAGCTATTTTAACATCATATAATAAACACTAGTGCAAAAATCATAGGTAAAATGTAGGTACAGGCATAAAACGACACTTAAGCTATTGTGTGTGTGCACTTGCTGGTATGGTGGCACGTAAAATCACATGATCAGCACTCAGCCAATCAAATTAATCCAGACTATGGTTCTAACTACTGTCATTTTTTTGTTGTTTTCTCATACTACTTTCAAATAACCCGAGTTACAGAAAATCTGATCAGATTACTGAACCATCAAAATAATCAATCCATCCATTTTCTTAAGTGGTTATCAAATTCAGGGTCTACAGGGTGCTGGAGCCCATCCCAGCTGCCCTAGAGTGAGAGGTGTGGTACAGCCTGGACAAGTCTATCATAGGGCTAACAGAGAACTATTCACACACAGCCAGTTTACATTTACAATCATCAATTAACCCAACATGCATGTGTTTGGACTTGCACATGTTAGTTTGCACATGGTCATGCAAACTAACACTACAGAGAGAACATAGGGTCCCGGTGGATTTGAGCCGTCTTGCTTTGTTGCATTCTTGACTGTTGTGTGGTCGTGTTATATTAAATATAATTTGGTACATCTATCCAAAACAGCCCACTTTTTCTCATTATGTCTCATTTTACAGGCATCCAACTTTAACCCAGTAACCTGCACTGGGTGGAACAGAGGAGCACTTGTTACTGTGGCACTGGTGGCCATGGTGACCATTTTCAGTGCACTATGGACGGAGCAGAAAGCTTAAGGGGGCCACGAGCAGGTCTTCTCAGCCATGTTTGTCAAAATATGTTTGCTATCGAGTGAGAATTACTGCTGTTTTCTCTTGCTGTTTACTTTGACTTTTCCTTTTTTTTTTTAAATAACTGTTTTTATTGAGCGGTATTGAAGTTGAAAGTGAGGACAACAACCTCTTTGACAACGCAGAAGAAAAGAGAAGAAAAAAAAAGTATAATGTAAAATTAGTTGGGAGTAAATTGTTTAAAGGAAATCTAGCCTTGCCTAAGGAGTTGGCCAGTTTATTGTAGCAGTGGCATGTTGATTCATGTCAGAAAACATGTTGACTGGACTGTTGCTGGCTTGCAGTCTTTTGTATCCAGATTTGTTTCTTACTGGTTTAAGAGGCCAAAATTTTTTCAAATGATATGTAGCATTGCTTAGTGTACAATGAAGGGAGCTGGACTTTCTGTTCAAGATTTGAAACTGCTTTTTCATGTGACGCCAAATAAACTTCTTAATGACAAAAATGTGACAACATTGTAAATTTTAAAAAAAATTACAAAAATCTTTAATTACACACTTGTATAAAGACAAGAAGCAATCACGGGAGCTTTATCAGTCTTCATATGTGGTGACTTCCACGTGGGCGTACGTTTGGTATGCCTTCCTGTTGCACTTCTGAAGTGTGGCGCCCAGCTGCCTTCCGGGTCCGACCTCGTAGGTGTGTGGGAAATGCTGTCCTTGCGTCCTCTCGTAGATCTCGTGCAGGGTCTGCTCCCATTTCACGGGTGACACCAGCTGCTTAACCAGCTGCCTGCGCACGTGGCTCTCGTTCATGTAACGTTTTCCATCTACGTTGGAGTAGACGCTGATCTCAGGACGTCGCACCTGGACGGGAAGGGGACGAATAGAAAATCGCACATGGAACTTGTGGTTAGGAGGCTCAAAAATGATTTAAATACATGTCAGATGAACAACACATGGACCCTGACTTTATCAGTCCCTAACATGGCCAAATCTTCTTTACAGTGTTGCTTATTTAGACTTATTTTTAATTAAATAAATGACATTGTGTTATATGTTGTTTTGCAGCTCATATGTGCTTGTATTTACTTAATTTTAAGACCTGCTAAGGACCAGATGTAAAGTCTTGGGTGTACTTTCCATTTAACTTTCTGAGTCAGACTGAATAGGATGGGTTATCTTAAAAAAATGAGGGCTGGTGTAGCTTTACAGAGTAATTGAATGCATGTTTCAGAAAATATGTTAATCCCTTTTGGATAAAGTGGCTGACTGACCTCCACCTGCCGGAGCACCTCTCTGAGGGGTTCAGTAGCCGATGCCATCAGCTCAGTATGGAACGCCCCACTGACTGGGAGAGTTTTGGTCCGCATGAACTTCAGGCGCCGAGAGTTTTCCTGGAGGAAATCCAGAGCCTGAGAAGTCAAAGAAGACAGCAGAAATGACAAGAGCAGCTCTAACAACTTTTTTGATGGTTGAGAGAAGACAGAAAAGAGAACACAATAGATTCACGGTATATTAAAGCAGCAAGAATATATGAATGCATTACCTGCTGGTGCCCTGCAATAACCCTGCCATCTGGAAACAGGTAGTTGGCCACAGAGCACACAGGATTCTCCATCCCCAGACTCTTGCAGTGCTCTTTTGCCTGCAGACAGGCATAATTATACTGAGCCTGAGGTCTACCAATGACTGACAGCATCCCACTGGGAACCAGTTCTGAGGCCTTCTGCATAGTCTCCGCACGCACCTTCACTGCATACAAAGCTAGAAGATGCATAAGGAGTAAATACAGAATATTAAGCAAAGTTGTGATTAAAACACCTTTTACAGATGCACAAAAAAACCCAAAAAAGAAATCTTTCTACCTTCTGCAAAGTTCATCGCCCCAGAAAAGACAAGAGCAGCAAATTCTCCGACACTGAAACCTGCAGCAGCGACACACATCTCAATGGCCTGTGTACAGAAGGAAACAAGTCAAAAAGAAAAAGAAAAATGTAACAGCCTCCCGATTATGACCGATATATCATTTACGTCACTGATACATCTGTACTGAACTGAAATTAACTCAGAACAATTTGTTTATTTTTTTAAATGATCATTCTGAATCAGAAGATTATTTACAGTGATGTTTTTGGTGGGAGTGAAACAACAATCTACTCATAAAAACAATAAAAACAAGATGTGATAATAAGAAATAATCACTGTTGGAAGCCTTATTTACTCTATCGCCTTAATCAGGTGCAGTAATTAAAGTTAAAATGAGAAACTTTGCATTTGAAAGATGCTCTTCTACTGGGCACTCAAAATGCTTTCTTACAACAAGCATCATTCATCCACACCTTCATACATAATGTCCGCACATTTTAAATATAAATTAATATTACTGTAGCAGTATTTAAAAATAAATAAATAAATAAAATGGCCACATTTAAGAAGGCAGGACCTGCAGTTATTGTCCTTTTTCCAGACATTTATCTGGCACTTACTTTGGGGTTTTCTTGGTTGAGTCTCTCCACAGCAGCCAGGGAGGTGACAAACACCGCCGGCTGACAGTGAACCGTTTTCTGCAGCTCGTCCTCGGGGCCCTCCAGACACAGAGACAGCAGGTCGTAACCCAGGATCTTCTGGGCTACAGTGAACATTTCTTTAACGTTGGGGTATTTCAAAAGTCCTCTGCCCATGCCCACAAACTGGCTGCCCTGACCGGGGAAGAGGAGCACGGAGCAGCCGCTGGGGTCTTTTTTGGGTCTCCACTGAGGCGCCGCGGCTGGCTCGCTGTTCGGGGAAGAAGCAGGGGCTTCAGCCGGATGAGGGTAACCTCCAGCCGTGGAACCGGGCTTGTTGGTGGACAGCGTCCTGCTCAGAGAGACCAGCGACCTGACCTTCCCTCTGGAAGATGCTGCCATCCTGACTGCCACTGATGCCAACATGAGCTGTTCCTCATCCAACAACGTGTCTGCGGATAAAATAAGACGCACAGCCCGCCCGGACAAACTGTAATCACCGAAAGAGTCAACTTTGCTTGAACTCAACTCTGATATCTGCTCGGCATGACACCTTACAGGGAGACGCCATGTTGTTTATACGGAGTTTATTCTCGTCTTCTTCCGGTTGACGTTCAGGCTCTTTCACGCTGCAGCGCCACCTCAGGTCAAAGTATGTCATGCTCTAATGTATCGTGTTTTTCTTTTCCGTGCTTTAATTTGTCAACAAAGTAAAAATAACTATAAGAGCTTTTAAGTATACACAGACATGCGCTTCTTAAATTTAGCTTAACTAGCTCCAGAGGTAGGAAGTAAAAAAGTAAAAAAAAAAAACTTCCTTGCTGTACTTAATTTTTACTCCCTACATTTTAAAACAAATATCTGTAGTTTCCACTCCGTATATTTTCAAATCAAACTCGTTACTTTGGGTTTAACGCATTTGGGGGAAATTAATATTTCACGTCACTGCAGGCCTTCAAACAATGAGATTTGAGCCTAAACAGTGACGCATGAAAGGCAGTCGCGTTTTAATCAGTAGAGGATGTCGCATAAAAAGAGATGAAAGAGCAAACCATGTACCGTAGTTTTGATTTATTTATTTTTAGCACAACACCAGAACAACCCCACGTGCCCATAATTTGCGGTACTTCAGAATCTAGCTAGTCCTACAAAAAAAAGGAGTGAACATAAAAGGGAGTAACATGTTGTTTCAGGTAATTTCAAATGCAGCATTTCTATCACCGAACAAACATCAGCAAATACACCAACTGTGTCACAGTGTGTTGCTAGCTAAAGCTCCACTTGCTGTATTTCACAGGGAGAGAAAAGAATGAGCTAACTTCACTCAGAGATATAGAAAGAAAGAGAAAGAAGCCAGGCTGCGTTTAAAGGTAAGGACTGCTTAGTGATATTTGATAAAATGTAATTGTATTATAACAGGGACATAAAGTGCTTGTCTTACTCCCTTCTTCTAGCTAGAAATTACTTGCCAAGTGGTAAGGACCGTTCATGGTCACATGGTGAGAACATTGGTGTTGACTATGAAGAGATATGGTCAGACAGGGGAGGGGCCAGTCAGATTTATCAACTCAACCTTAAAGCAAGCAACACCTTAAAGCAAGGAGAGAGGCTGAAACCAATCTCTGGTGAGCCCGGTTAAGGAAAGAGATGAGTTGGTGCCTGAGATGCCAAATTCCAACATCCTAATTCCCGCCATTGTGATAACACTCTCACACAGGCCCAGAGAGCAGATGTTGCTGCATTGCAGATGTGTTATACCCCCTGCCCAGCCGAATGACTCTCAAAAAGAAAATTTTGCAGTAAATCAATGTGATCGCTTGGATCACTGGAATTATCATCTCGATATCTCTTGTCCTTCTTTCATTTCAGACGTCTTGAAAACAAGTTTTAACAAAGTCCTGGAGAAGTGCCCAATGCTGAAGGACCTCCTGCTTTACCCCTGGCTCAGATAAACGCCTCTCTGACACAAACACACACGCATGCTGAATTCACATCTTGCTATACAAATGTGATACAGTAACCAACTTTATTTCTTTCAGAAAAAAAGAAAATTGGGAGATTCAAAATTTTCCTCACAGTAATGTTTGCATCAGTCTATCAGATGAATCCCCTCCAAGTCTAATATTTACATCAGTTACAGTGATAATGCTTGGTGTCTACTTTCAGCCACTGCAGTAGAATGCCAGGAATGAATCTCATTGAAATTGTAGCTGCATTTGCTATTTAATTTAATTGTCATGGATGATGCACAGACAACCCAACAGCAAACAGAGGAAGACAATGGGCTTAAATACACAGAGGGATAAATGAGGGAATAAGACACAGGATGAGAGCACAGCTGAGAGAAATCACAAACAACAAGACCATGGGGAAGGAAAACTGAAAACCCTAACATAGTCTAAGGAGCTTAGAAAGAAAACATCTGGACTCCTTTAAGTTGCTTGAAGACGTTCAAGCAAAGTTAAAGTTCCTTTCATCTGAGAAGGTGAAACGTCTTCAAGCAACTTCAAGTCCAGACGCTTTCTTTCCAAACTCCTTAGACTACGATGACCTGGATGACTGAGAACCTTCACAGACATGAAAACACTAACATAGCACACAAGACTATCAAAGTAAAACAGCAAATAAGAGACTTTTACAAAGACACAGAGTGACACAGAGACATGACTGACTGGGGAGAAATTGGGGAACATGGAAACAAGAATGACTAGACATGACACGTGGGACACAGGGGCAAGGCAAAGTAACAGAAACCTAAAGCCTAAGAATATAACACAAGAAGAAAACAATAAAGAGAACCAAAATCATACATAAGAATAATCAATGAATATAAATTAACAAACACAAAACACTGGGTCACAGACTCAGTACCATGACAGTTAAATGTACAATAATAAATACTTTAAATCAGATGACAATGTAGCTGACACTGTGTTTATTAGTGTGTGGTCAACCACAAATCTTCATACTGTCATCCATACATGAGGTCTTTATACAAATGATGAAAGATAATGAAAGACACTGTTTAACTGATATGAAATGATTGAATTATATGAAATATTATGGCTTTGTCTGCCAGAGTGTTTTTCTGTAAACTACTTTGAACTACTGGCAGTCAGTGAAGTCACTCAAAGGCAAGAATCTATGTTGTGTTGCTGTAGTTTCCAGAGTTTACTTATAAAGCTCACTTACAGAATTCAGTTAGAAAAGTCAAGCATTTGAAGGACGCACATTTGAAGGAATATTAACTCAATATTAACTCATTACAGTTTACATTTTTGATTTGAAAAGTTCTCCGAAATTACAATGAAAAAGGAAACAAGAAAAATTACCACTCCAGCCGATAAGAAAGATTCAGGAGATCAAGGTAAGTAAAATAATAAAATAAAATCCTGGTAAAATCCAAATCCTAGAAATGTTGACACTGTGTGAATCATTTTTAGAGCAATTGAATCATATGTTTGATTGAAAATCGCTTTAATACAAGATGTCTAATCAAAGAAAGGTTACCGGTCTTTTGGTAAAATAATGTAATAAGTTTATTCTTGGACTCAACAGTAAAAACAGACCAACAAGTGTCATCAAGATCTAAGACTTAGTAAACCTAGTATCAATTCGCACTGGTTAGTTTTTTTTATCCCAAGAATAAACTTGTAATAATTTAAGCAAAAGCAATTTCAAATTCTTTGCCATCAAAATGCTTCCAGTCCTGATGTCGGGGACTCTTTTTCACCACTGTGTTGGTGTTGTTTATAGATTGTAAGAGCAGGACTGCTAAAGGAAAGGCCAGTCCTGAAAAGAAGACCCCAATAAAAAGGAGGAGGGTCGCTGAGCAGGCTGGTCCTTCCACCAGCTCAGATGTGGTCAAAGGAGGGAAGCGCAAGGTTGTGCGAGATGGAGAGGGCACAACAAAGAAAGCAAAGAAGGCTAAACTGCTTGACCATATGAGCGGTGACAAGGAGCAAGCATTTTCCTCGTTGGACTCTGGTAAAGGTAGGCTAATTAGTTGAATAAGTGGGTAGATTAAGTGTGGTTGGAAGGTTTAAGATATTGGTGTTTAGTGTTTGGGAGATATTTGTGTCTATCATCCAGTGAGCTGATGTGCTTTTGGTGTTTTCCACATCTCCAGACTTGAACAACAAACAGGTGTGTGCAAAAAATGGCAAAGGAAAGGCCGCGGGAGACAACAGAGAGTCACCCAAGAAAAAAAAAGGGAATGTGGACCAGGACAAAAAATCAGTGGCAGACCAAAAACGTAAGTAGCAAGAAGCCTGGTTTTATATTCAGGGGAAGAGCAAAAGGAACATTTAGGCTACAGAGGAGAGTAACTTGTGTCACAGCTGTAGTAAAACAAAATTTGCTGTTTTGTCTGTTCAGGTGAATTCCAAGCCAGATATGTGGAGGAGCACCGGCTCGGAGAAGGAGGCTGCGGAGCAGTGTTTTCTGGCTACCGGATAGAAGATCGTTTTCAGGTAAGTGTTCAGATGATGGTAGTAAGACAGGCAGTAACGCAGATAATGGATAATATCATAAACTGAGACGTGTGCTGTGTTTCCACCTTTCATTATGTCGTACTGAGGAAATGCTCACCAATGCTCTGTGTCTTTTAGATTGCCATCAAACACATTCCCAAAAATAAAGTCTACTGCAAAGTGGCGGTAAGCGTCCAACACTTGAATCAGTGTTACATTACTGGATTCAATGCAGCGTTCCTCATCATCCACTTTGTTGTAATATTTCAGGATGAAAGCGGGAAGAAGCTCTCGGTGGAAGTGGCCATTATGCTTAAACTTGCAGGTGAAGCAGAAGGGTCATTGGGAATATCAGCACCTGTGTCCTTGCTGGAGTGGTTCGACCTTGGCAGAGAGCTGATCCTGGTGCTGGAGAGACCTGTCCCCGCTGTGGACCTGCAAAAATACAAAGCAGAAAATGGAAGAACTTTACCAGAGGACAAGGCCAAGGTAGGTTGACTGGGAGAACCTTAGACTGTACAGCATTCAATCAAGGCAGAAAAGCATTAACTCATTATTGTGTTTTTCATCTTTTCCAGGTCATTCTGAAGCAACTAGTTGATGCTCTAAAGGAACTTGAGGATAAACACATCTTTCATCGGGACATCAAGGGAGAAAACATTCTGATTGAGACCGGCTCAGATGTGCCTCGTGTTCGCATCATTGACTTTGGACTGAGCTGCTTTGTTAAGCAGCGATCTCTGTATCGCATCTTCTATGGTAACATATTCTGCTCCTGCTTTTCACAGATGTAACAATTTGTGTCTTTTGTTTTAGAAGAAATTGCAATTGTGTCTGTTTGTTAGGTACTCCTGTTCACAGCCCTCCCGAGTGGTACAGGAGGAGCTGCTACAGGTGTGGACCCACCACGGTGTGGCAAATGGGAGTGGTGTTGTATGAAGCGGTTCATGCACGGGACTTTAATGCCGAGAGGTTCCTCACAAAGAAACTGAGTATCAAAAAGCATCTGTCCACAGGTAAGAAAACTTCACACTTCCAGATTCACTGATGCCTTGGATCACTAGAACTATCATCTTCATCTTTTTGATCTTTTCTTTCTTTCAAGAATGCCGGAATTTCTTGGACGCCTGTTTAACTAAAGTCCCGGAGAAGCGCCCAACACTGGAGGAGCTCCAGCTTCACCCCTGGCTAAGATAACACACACAAACACACAATTCACACCTTATCATGCAAGTGTGATACATTGTAGTAACTTCCTTTCTTTTTTCTTTTGGACAGGAATAATAATAATAATAATAATAATGGATTGGATTTATATAGCGCTTTTCAAGGCACCCAAAGCGCTTTACAATTCCACTATTCATTCACTCTCGCATTCACTCACTGGTGGAGGCAAGCTA